ATATATATATATATATACATATATATATATATATATATATATATATATATATATATATATAACTGAATGTACCTGATCACATTGATTGTCATTTTTCGAATTGGTGATCTCCATCGAAGTTTTGTGAATAACTCTTTGGACTGTATTTATAAGAACTGGTCGATTTTTTATTATTATCTCCGAGTCTTCTAAGCCCTTTTTGACCTCTTTTCCATAAAAACAACAATGTTAAACGTCCCCAAAATGACGTACTTGTTTTCTTGTTTGCACCTCCCTTCGTCTTAGAAGATGAATATTTCTTCATTTCTTTAAGATTATTTTTAACTGAAAAATAAATTATATTATCAAGTTTTTGATGTGCTTTTCTCATAAGTTAATTATTTTTAGCTATTGTCTCTTTATATCATTTATTTAATGTTCCATTTTGAACTTTTGGCGTGGCTACATGAATTCATGAGTCATAAATATTTTATTACGATAGTTATGATAGTCTATGTTTTATTTTTCTAACAAGAAAATAGAATATATCATAATAAATAATTTACCATGCGCCATGTTGTATCTTATTTTGAAGAAAAAAAATGTATCTACATACCAAAATATTAACACTTTTACCCCCATTATATCAGTAATTATGAAGGGAGAAGAATGGGCTACGGTTGACATGAAAGAGAGAAATACTACTATTGAGATTATATTGTACAAAGGATAATTAATTTGGAGTTTTCATGTCTAAATTTTAAAAAAAAAATTAGCTAATTTAATGAGTTTCTCAATTTTTTTGCCTATACTAAACGACATGTAAAATTAATGGAGAGAATATATTTAAGAATAATGCTACAGAGTACAAATATGCACACAATCTTCTTTTATTGTCATTGATCAACAACTACATAACAAACTAGGTTTTAATTAGGTAATATAACAATATAGCATGTGAAAATCTTTAAATGTATGACTAAGTAAAATATAAAATATACTTGGTATTTGAAAACATACAACGGCACTTTATTTTTAAAAATTTATTGGAAAGCATGTATGGATATTAATTGTTAAAGATCTTCAGGTATCTATGCCTACCAAAAATCAGCTACTAAGTTGTGCTTGTGATTTATGGGCAGATAAATTAGATGATGAATTAATTACAGGAACAACATAGAAAATGGAACGTAATAAAACTAACCAAGAAAAATAATATGAAATATAGCAAAACCTGAAAACATAGTGTACAAAGGTAAATCAGGATTGATGAAAACTAAACAATCACTAGTTAAAAATAAGGGAAAATATGCAATACCCCCTCAAAGGCGAAATATTTTGAACTAAACTCAATTGACTTTTAAAGTTTTTTGCTTACACCCAAATTTTATTTTTAGATGGTGTTTGCAAAATTTTATTTAAAATCATAAGTTAGTGATTGTGAGTTTAGTTGATATAAAATGTTTAATTCTAAAAGTTGGGGGTGTCTGCAAAAAATCTAGAAAATCAATTTAAATAGAAAAAACAGGTACATGGGTGTTTTTAAAATTATAGCTTAAAACAGCTTATTTTAAAAGAAGCAAAAGCAAAAATTTATTTTGCAAACACCTAAAAACATATTATGTGGGGGGAAAAAATCATAATCTATTTTTAAAAGCTTTCGCAAACACCACATTATTAGTGAGACCCCCTTCACTAGTGTGAGAAGACAAAAATACCATCAACTACTATAACTCTAATTATTTGCCCACCTCTATCACTTTCATCTTCTATCTTCTCCACCTTTCCACCTAAATCCTTCAACTATCTCCGAAAATTTCAAGCTTCCTCCACCGTCACTGCCGCTCGTTGCCGTCGTTTCCTCCTTTATCTCTATATAAATAACCTATTTCTCTCGTGTTTGTTGTCTCTCTCGGTTTCTCTCTCTTTACACCACCATCGTCTCCACATAGATTTGTACCCCAATGCAACCGTCGCCGCTCGTAGCCGCCGCCGCCTCCTTCGTTTCCACGTCAGGCTCTTTCTCCCTTTTTCGTTATCTTTCTCTATTGTTTTTTTTCCAGATCTGTCCACCACCACCACCGTCGCCCCATCTCCCACTCTCACTTTTGTTCACCACCGCTGTTGGCGTTGACTCCCCCCTCCCTCTCTTTCGTTAATTTCTATCTTTATTTATGTATTTTTCGATTTCTCTTTTTTTTTCTCCAAATCTAAAAACACAGTTTCAGATCTGAATAGCACCAGTAACATGACTACAGTCATATTCGAATATGACTATAGTCATATTTATGTTCGAATATGACTGTAGTCATATTCGAATATGACCATTGTTGAATATGATTGTAGGCATATTCGAATATGCTATATCTTCTCGTTTCAAGTTGACTTGTAATAACAAGATTCAAATTGTGATTTTTTGTGTGGATTTTGATTGGATTGTTTTCGAATTTAATAGGAAATCTTCGTTGTTTTATATAATTTGGTAAACATGACTGTACCACACTATATATATAATCGGAATTTTTAAGTTGAAAATGTAAAAGACTACAATATAAAGAAAGAATATGACTACAGCCGATATAGTTATGTATAGCCATATTCGGCGTTGTAACCTGTCAAGAAAAAAAAATCATTTTTTTGTTTAAAAAAATTAAAAGAATATATTTTTATCAAAAAATTAAAAAAAAAGGGTTAAATAATGTCCGAAAATAATAAAAAAAAAAATTATTTTGTTTTTTTGATTTGGTAGCAAATTTTTAAGAATTTGGAAGCAGATTTTTAGTATTTAAATTATTGTTATGGAAAGAGAGAAAAAAAAAAGAATAATTGGGAGAAATTATGCTAATTGACATAAGGGCAGAATTGGGAATAAAATTTCTAGGGAATTATCACAAAGAAAGATTTAAGGGATGGATATATCACCATTTCTTGTACCAAAAAAGGCGAAATTCCTCACCCCATGAGCCCCTATCCCTTTACCTAACAAGTATTTGATGGAGGAATGACCCCAAAAAATAAAGATATACAAGAAGGAAAGAAAACCCAAGTGATGATGACGAGTCAGTGTACAGGACAACCATCAACGATAACTCCTCTGGCAGTGGGACACGTGGCCAAATCGCAATGCTCTCCCTTAGAACCCCACCACGTAAGTGTCACCTCCTCAATACCAAGGGTGAAATACAAGGCCACCCCCATAAAAGCCAATCCAGCATCCAATGCCGCCGAGAGTACGTAATTGTACCTCTGCCACCACGCCTTTCGGTACCTAAAAACAAATAAGTTGAAAATAGTCCCGACCAACATCCAGCTGTTAAAGTTTAACGTAGTTGCAGGTGGCATAGCAGCGGTTGCTCCAAGTAGAATCGGAAGGTTAACCGACTTTATCCATTTCTGACTCGGAAGAGCCTTGTGAAGAATCCACACAAAAAAGGGGCCCACAGCGCCACCCAAGAAGAACCAGTTGAGTGCGTTGTAGTTACCCAGTGTTCCGAAGAATCTCTTGGGCCCCACTAGTCCCCATATAACAGATGCATCGTAGAATACACGGTCGTTTGGGCATGTCCATTGACTGTTTGGTGGGAGTAACTCATCTTGGCATATGTTTTCTATATTCGTTAGCAGATACCATGCCACCGCTATGTTCACTAATCCAGCTATCAGCGTCCCAACCAACTGATCATAATATTATTAATTAATTAATAAATAATTAATCAAATTATATTATGATCTGATGATCATGTTTGTAGGAAAGAGAAATTTTTCATTTTTTTTCCAAAAAGATATAATCATTTATTTGAAACCGGTCTAAATTTATAGCAAGTACGTACCTGAACTATGAACATTGATCGTGGTGGAACTTTCATGTAATGGCCTAGCTTGAAATCGTTGAGAAACGAAATGGCTTGGTGCATGCTTATATAGCCGTAGGTTTTGAAGCACACGTTGGCAATAGGTCTCCCCGGATATATATACCCGATTATGTACTCCGTTATTATATTAAGCCCGGGTGTCTGCATGCATGCATATATATAGTTAGATGTTAATAACTGATCGATCGATCGAGAAGATATATGTATATATATAATAGAGATGTACAGACCTGATTGGTAGTAGCTGTAATAATGCTAATGGGGAGGGTAAACATCAAAGCAAGAGCAGCTGAAAGTATGAGACCCCACCATGGAAGCTGCACTTGATCTATCATGACAGTGCAAAGTAAAAGTGATACACCAAAAGTTATAACCAATATTCCGTAAAACCACCAATTCGGTATGTCTTCGTACTTTCTCATCAGCCTTGTGTGTATATCCTGCTTCCCTTTGTGCGAATCTTTAAACCGTTCATATATCTCACTGTCAATTCATTCATTCATTCATTCATTCCGGCCGTACCGTATTTTTTATATAAAATTTAAAGAATAATAATAGAATATAATTGTAGTACATTATAATACGTACTTACTTGCCGTTGAAGAAAGCGACATGAGTAAGAGTAGCGACAATTGCAGCGAAATTAAGGCCGTAAGTGACAGCAAAGAACATACTCAAGTTGATGCGCCCAAGCTTATCATACGTAGGCAAGTCGATCTCAAACTTGTCATTCACAATAGCCGACACATTATATACCTGCCCTTTATGATCGAACATATGGGACGAAAATATCGGAAAAGTTTTGGCAGCGTACAAGTTCAAACCCCAATAGCAAATAGGAATCATAATATACAGAGTAACAAAATATCCTAAAAACACATTAAGGATTGCGAAGAATGGAGTGACGAGAGGGCTTCCGAGAAAAGATGCCACGACCGACCAATCAAATGTGAAAGAAGCAATTCCAAGTCCGCGCATACCGGACCCTATTTGCTGAGCTGTCACTGAATTTGGATATGCCAAACATAGAAGAGATATGTTTGATAATGTGGGGAATAGATACCCTGGGAATATGTACCAACAGAAACTACAACCCATTGCTATCAGAAAGAATCTCGCTCTCGAGTTTTTACTGCTTTCCTTTTCATGAAGAGCCCTGCGCAAATTATTATATTAATAATAACATAACTAAAGAATTGATTTGGTTATTTATATTGACACACATGCAACTACGAGATGTTGGCGATTTTGTTTCGATCGACATCGTTAGCGTTTTATTTATCTATTTTCAACTGGTCGGTGAGGAACAAATTTTAGTAATTGTCACTGAAATTGTATAACAAACGTAATGTCATATTTATCATTCAAATTCATTTAATGCATGCAGCAGAAAAGATTACATTAAATGTCATGCTCGATCAAAGTGTCTTAAAGATGCGTAAGTCGAGAAACGATCAATGCATGGCATTCAAAACAGACTCGTTTAGTATGATCTCTTGTTATTATTTCGATACTAAACGGCCTCATTCTGATCATATTTATATTTGATACGAATTAAGACAACGTTGTACTACGCCTTTTTCTACTGTAATAAAAATCTTTTGGCCAAAAAAATAAAAACGTTGACGAGGGACCTTATACGAAATAAGTTGTAGCAAAAGCACAAATTTAGAAACAACAACACCAGCAGTAACTTGGAATTCAATAGAAAAATGAGTTCCCATATCAATTGGTGCAAAGCGAGGTCATTAACAAGAAGCTAAGGTATATTTTCAGCAAATATAATGTCAATAAGTATTTTTCCTTATCATTAATTAAATTGAAGGGTTGCAGATATATGTAATAATTAATTACCTAAAGAGAGAAACTTGAACAAGACTGCTTGGCCACCACATTTCGGCAGGCTCTATTACATACTTCCTCAGAATCCCAGCCCATCCATATCCCAATACCTGCAATAATGCATGCAATACCATCCACAATTAATTAATTAATTAATTACATGATTAATTATAACACAGTGATATGATTAATCAATTAATAATACAATATAATGTACGTAGTAGCAGAAAAGAAAAAAAAAGAAAAAAACCTGAGTGGTGAGGACAAGAAGCAAGCTAGCGGTGAAGGAGATATTCCTCTTGTAAATAGCCTTAATAATATCAACAATCTCAACAGCATAAGCAGAGCCACCACCAAAAGCGGAACCGGCATTAGCGAAAATGGAGATGAGTACGTGCTCCTTCATGTTAAATGGACCCGGGTTGAGAGAAAACAGCCTGCTGGATCCGAACCCGGGAACCGTAAACTTGGTGGTGGGCAAAACATTGGCCATGAAACGGCCGATGGGTAGGGTCGCCACTTGGACGGATATCATTGTTACGGTGAGGGGCTCGGTTCTGTAACTGAAGAAAGTGTTGAGGAATGAGAGAAGAATGCAAGACAATAGACCAAGAAACCACATCCGGAATGTCCAAACGGGTAGGGTCGGGTCGTCTCCATTAGGAACGGTCAGCCGTACTTGTTCTATAGGGGACACCTCTTCAGCTGGATCTAAACCATTCCCTCTTTCTGAATCTATTTCCATGATCGATCGATCACTCTATGTGTGTGTGTGTGTGTGTGTGTGTGTGTGTGTGTGATGACGATTGACGAGGGACAAACAGTACTACAGGTAGTAGGTAATAAGTTTTCAAAGATTCTGTTTTTTCAAGAATAACGGGTCATATATATAAAAGAATTCAGTAGATATTTGAGGGATCTGTTGTTGATTCCGATCCATGACTTTTTCATGCATCTATCTCTATCCTTCATCTCAATGCTCGATCTCTATAAATAGATACATACATAGATAGTAGTTAATAGTACTCCCACACCAATTAATTATTTAATTTAGTAATAGTAGGGTTCTAATTTTGATTACTATTGAATTCACACCAATACACAATAGTAAGTAATTATGCGCATAAAATATCTCAATGAAATGGTGGGATTATGCCAATTCCATTTCCCTTAATTGCTTTCAACTCTCATGTGTATAATCTATATTTTACAATATTTGACGTATCATTTGACCCCGGTTTTAGTGGTCAGACTGGACCGCTTCGAGGCCGGGTCACGGTCCAACCGGTCCAACCGGCCGGTTCGGTCCGGTTCTAACAACATTGAAAAAAAGTATTGCCTGATAGTTAGTTATTCACTATCCGTAAAACTATGAAGTACTAACGTTACAATTGACATTTCACAAATAAATTGGAACTATAACTAAAATAAAGTCAATATATATATATATATATATATATATATATATATATATATATATATATATATATATATATATATATATATATATATATATATATATATATATATATATATATATATATATATATATATATATATATATATATATATATATATATATATATATATATATATATATATATATATATATGATATGTCTATTGGCCCAGCCCAATAGACCCATATTTACTGGGTCACATGCCCAATTTAATAGCTATTTCTACGGAAGTCCAATCACATCCAAATAAGGTTGAGCCCGATAAATTGATCTCGACCCAGTCAATAAAGTATAAATACAACTTAAGTTCATTTAATTAACGTACGCTATTATTATCCAATCAATTCTTCTATTCGAATTCTCTCTAAAATTACCGACTATCTGCACGTCTGACTTGAGCGTCGGAGGGGTTTCCGCCGGATCAACCCCCGGCCTAGTTCACGTGTTCTTTGTTCGCAGGTATCTCAGTGTTGGGTTTCGGGCACGCATACGCAGCGGAAAACAAAAATTTAATGTGATTTAAACGACTTTAAAACACACAAGTACATGCCCGACAAATTAAATCAATTAATTGCGTACCTTTGCGCTTCCAGCGAAATTAAACAACAACATACATGCTAATTATTTAACCGAATTTAAACCAATTAACATGCTCGCGTTTAAACCAAATAACATGCTCGCAATGATTTAAATCGATTACACATAATCACATAAAATCATACGAGACAAACATGAATACATATACATAGGTTTAAACGAAACTCAAATCGAAACTAGGGTTTCGCGTATTTACCTCTTGAAGCGTGAGGTAGGATCGTTTAGCACGTCGAGATTGCTACGGAAACCAATCCGTACAATCGGGGCAGCAACGGTGCAGCAGCAGCGGCGGTGAGACAGCTCACGGCGGCGCGTGAGTTTCACGCGCGGACTTCCGGGGCGGCGCGTGGGGCAGCGTGCGGCTTCGGCTCGTGCGCTGCTCTTCGATTCCTCGATCTTCGATCTTCCTCCTCTCGGATTTCACCTCGTATACTTCGATCTACTAAACACGTGGCACTAGACACGTAATAGTTAGAAAAACAGAAGAAAAAGAGAAGGAAAGAATACCGTGAAGGGAACGGCCAATAGATGGCCGATTCCGGCGACGGAGAGGCGACGGCGGTGGCGCGGTGGTGGCCGCGGAAAGAGAGGCCGAGAGAGAGAGATGGGGACGGCCGCTTAGGGTTAGGGTTTTGAGTGTGTGTGTGCAAGGCCTATAAATCATGTATTTATAGTCCCTTGCATAAAACCCTAGCGGGCTTAAGTTGGACCGGGCCCAACAGCTTAAGTCCGTTAGTACTTTCTCTTGCTCGTCTCTCTTAATTCAATGACCGAAAAATTGCAACGATTACATTTTCGGAATCATTATAATTCCTTCGTCATTACGAGTGCCATCTTTCATTTTCCAACTTTCCAAAAGTGGAAACCCTAGTTCAGTGCACTTTCTAAATTTGGAAATTTCCCGATTTAGAAAGTTCACTAACACGTTCGCCTATTCTTTTCCTTTTCTTATTCTCATTCATAATTCCAAATTACGAATGTTGGACTCAATCATATTGACTTCCAATCATGCAAAGATAAACTACTTTATCTCTGACCGTTTATTCAAAGATCTCATGTGCACGAGCAGTGTGACCCTCGATGGTTCAGGTGTAAGCTAGCCGTGGGCCCACAACTCTTTGCGGTCAAAACTCGTCCCTTAGAGTTACGATTAAGATGAAGCTCGTTTCATCTTAATCACCCAACGAATCAAGATTGGCGTCTAGCAACTACGCGTCATGATTCCCTAGATACAAATGAAGTGCCTGCAAGAACCTTCAGATATAGTTAACGTACAGTACGGTCCCTTCGATTCATATGTCCCGATCGAACTAGAGGCATTGGTTCATCGAGACCTCTTTATATGTTCGATGACGGTGCGATCGTTCCAAGTGTTGTAATCCTTACGTGCATGACTTAGAGAATCGAATTCTCTAATCATCACCTAGTCAGCTCTGGCCAGAGACTTAGAATGATTACAAACTTTCAGAACACACAGGACATCCAAGACTATTCTAGCGATCGAATCCCCGACTACAATGCACAGACCTCCCACTAGATTTCGGACTGCACGAACACTGGCCCTTGGGATGGTCCTCGGTGGAACTCAGGGACACGTCACGATACAGCTGGTCCTCTAGTGAAGTCACGGTGATGTCTAGGTCATAAGGACTAATGGTGTACAACTATACCATAGATATCTCTACTCGATTATTGGGAACCACTTAGAGATTTCTAGGGTGAGGGAGTTCAGTGAACTCGTCAACTTACGAGCACCCACTTATGCATGCCGATATCACAATACCGTTTACTGATGAGATGCAGTACACATACACTAAGTGCTAGTCTTAATGGGAAAGGCCGATATCCTCATTAGTGGCGTAACCCTTCGACTAGGAACACGTTTAACAGTTATAATACTTCAGTAAATATCTCATGATCCTAACGATCAATTACTAGTACTTGTAATAACTGTAAGGACTACATCTATGCTTGTGACAAAGGGACAAAGATATAGAATGCCAATGTGTTTTATCATTAATACGAATAAAGGTTCGTTTATTACAATAATAAATACGAAAGACCACAGCCACAGGTTGGCTTGTTGGTCACCTACTCTAACAATCTCCCACTTGGCCTAAAGCCAACTACCCATAAACCGCAATCCCATCGACTCTCGATGTTTCTCATGGACCGATCTTGGTAAAGGCTTCGTGAAGGGGTCTGCAACGTTCTCTTCCGAGGTGACTCGTTCTACCTTAACTTCACCTCTATCAATGATCTCTCGGATCACGTGATACTTCCTCAGAATATGCTTCGACTTCTGATGAGATCGTGGCTCCTTAGCTTGTGCCACGGCTCCGGTGTTATCACAGTACAACGGTACTGGATCACTAGCATCAGGAATGACACCCAACTCTTGGATGAACTTCCTTATCCAAGTCCCTTCTTTTGCAGCTTCAGACGCTGCAATGTATTCCGCTTCGGTAGTGGAATCGGCCGTCGTGCTTTGCTTGGAACTCTTCCAACACACGGCACCACCATTAAGCGTGAATATAAATCCAGAATTCGACTTTGAGTCGTCCACGTCCAATTGAAAACTAGAGTCAGTGAAACCCTCTAATTTCAACTCGGCACCCCCATAGACCAAAAATATATCCTTAGTCCTTCGCAAGTACTTGAGGATATCTTTCACGGCTTTCCAGTGAGCCGGGCCGGGGTTAGACTGATATCTGCTTGTGACACTCACAGCATACGCAATATCGGGTCTCGTACATAGCATGCCATACATTATGCTTCATATGGCAGAAGCATAGGGCGTCCTTTTCATCTCCTCGATTTCACTAGGTGTTTGGGGACACATAGATTTCGAGAGACGAACCCCATGGGACATTGGCAAGAATCCCTTCTTGGATTCTTCCATGCTAAACCGTTTCATAACGGTGTCTATGTACAGGCTTTGGGATAAGCCAAGCATCTTTCTTGCTCTATCTCTATAGATGCGTATTCCCAATACATAAGATGCTTCTCCCAAATCCTTCATTGAGAAACGTGTGGACAACCATGCTTTCGTTTGCTGTAACATTCCTACGTCATTCCCAATGAGTAGAATGTCATCAACGTAAAGCACTAGAAATATTACTGCCCTCCCACTAACCTTCTTGTATACACAAGGTTCCTCCGGATTCTTCTCAAAATCAAACTCTTTGATAGTTGAGTCGAACCTAATGTTCCAACTACGGGATGCTTGCTTCAATCCATAAATGGATCGGTGGAGCTTGCAAACCTTTTGCTCACTTCCAGAAGATATGAAGCCTTCCGGCTGCGCCATGTAAATTTCTTCCTCAATATCTCCATTACGGAAGGCGGTCTTCACATCCATTTGCCATATCTCGTAGTCGTACCACGCAGCTATGGCCAGCAAAATCCTAATGGACTTCAGCATCGTGACTGGCGAAAAGGTTTCCTCATAGTCAACGCCTTGCCTTTGAGTGTATCCTTTTGCTACCAATCTAGCTTTATAGGTCGATACCTTTCCATCAACTCCAATTTTCTTCTTATAGATCCACTTGCTGCCTATAGGAACAATTCCTTTGGGTGGATCTACCAAGGCCCATACCTTGTTGGAGTACATGGAGTCCATTTCGGATTTCATGGCAGTTAGCCAATGTCCCATGTCCGCATCCGATACGGCCTCATTGTATGTTCTT